GACTTTATCAAATGTTCAGCCAATTATGATTTTACACTTTCATTTGAAATTCTAGGTCTTCTCAGAATATTAGACATACAAATACATTTTATATCCAAAGCAAAATATAAATTACTATTGTATTTTAAACATCAGAACAAACTTTATTCAATACACCAACTCGGCAGCATAGTGTAAATTCAAGAGAAGGGAAATACTGACTTGTTTCTTCCTATATTGGTAACTTACATTAAGCTCAATTAAACAACAAATACCTAAGAGGTAAGGGATAACATATCCAGGGTGGATCCCTTGCAGGCAGAGCTTCATAGAAACCAGTTTCAGCCAACTACATAAGAAATAAACCCTGGTCAGTCTCAAGGATTGGATCCTGGCACCTGATCTCACCTGGGAAGGAGCTGCTGCTTCCCTAGCTGAGCTGGCAGATTAGGGCTGGAGCCAAGGTTCTGCAGAGTCACACTACCTTGGACCTTAATTCCTTACTATGCCAGGGGAGGGGCTGATGCTATCCTATGCTTGCAGTTTAAAGCTCCATAGCCTAAGGGTCTTGGTTGGATTCCTCTCCCAGAGTCTAACATCTGGCCCTTAGAAGGCAATGGGCAACAGTGGTTTGACACAAATACTCTTGCCCCCCATGCCCAGCTTGACATTGTTCCAGAAGGCTTGGTGCCTTTCCAGCTTGGTCCTTTGCCATTCTGACATACCATTAGTATACCCTTATTCATTCTAAATATATTTCTAAAAAGACTACTGGAATGGAAAAATATTTTAAACATTGTTCAGTTTTTTTAATTGAAGCACAGTATTGTGTTAGTTTCAGGTATACAGCAAAGTGATCTAGTTATATATTTTTTTTCAGATTTACTTTCCCTCATGGGTTATTACAAGATATTGAATACAGTTCCCTGTGCTATACAGTAAATCCTTGTTGCTTATCTATTTTATGTATACTAGTTTGTAGAGTCAAATTTTCATATTTAGTTACTTTGTTAAAGAAAAGAAAAACCCAAGATAGCTTTTCATCATATTGAGAAAATACAGATGTACGAATGTATGGTGTTGAACATTAAACATCACCTTGGAGTTACTGTCCAGCTAGAAGTTACTTGACATTACTTCCCCCCGCCCTTTTTTTTCCTTTTGGAAAAATTAAGTACTTCTGTTATTAATAAATGGTTAATAAACCTGGCACTTTGACTTAATTCTTCTGCTGAATTTTGGTAGCATTTAAAGTATATTCTCAACTCAAAAGTATTTTTCTTGCTCTTCCAGAGCCTTGAATTTAGTATATTCTTTTCTCCTTGTCTGACAATGTGAGACAAAAGTTCATAAAAAGCAGTGGTGAGTACACATAATACAGATGGTGTGAAACCTAGGTTCTTTTTTGTTTACCTTATTTGAAAAAGCACTTCTAACAACAATTCTCCTTATTTTTTTAACTTTATTTGCATGACTCCTTGACTGATTCAACATGTTTTTAAGAAAGTCCCGTTCCCTGGGGCTGCATTACGACGGGTCTAGATGGTCCTCCTGAGACAGAAGCTGAAGTAAACCACACAGGAGGGGAGTAAACAGATGTATAGAATAAGTAGACTTTCACTGACCCCGGTCGACATGAAATCCTCCCTAAATGTCAACCAGGCTCAGTCTTGCAAATCTAAAATAACCTCATGTGGAGAAGCAGGTCAAACCTTTTTTGGCTAGGAATAGAGGTACTATTCCATGATTTAAGAAAAAGTTTATTCAGAAGTTGTACACTAAAGTTTTAGAAATGAATTAAGCATACCAATCTGTAAAGTGTCCATAAAGCACTGGAGATTCTCTTCTAGAAGAAATGAACTACTGTTTCCTGTTTACTGCATTCTGAGCACTTTAAAGAAGAAAGTCAGCCAGTAAGATGGGCTGAGGGCACAGGTAAGGAGACGCTGGACATCAAAGAGCCTCTCACAGGGCTTCCCTGGTGGCGCAGTGGTTTAGAGTCCGCCTGCCGATGCAGCGGACACGGGTTTGTGCCCCGGTCCAGGAAGATCCCACATGCCGTGGAGCGGCTGGGCCCGTGAGCCATGGCTGCTGAGACTGTGCGTCTGGAGCCTGTGCTCCGTCCAGAGCCAGGAGGAATATGTGGCAGCTTCCTGGTCGCCCCAGGAAGGACGAGGACTCTTGGGGGATGAAGGTGACTTGGGACGGTAGGGATAGGAGGTAGAGGAGAAGTTTCCCCAGAAACTCAGATCCCCGTACCGAAAAAAAAAAAAAAAAAAAAACTATATATGCAAAATGTTATTGGTTGGTGACAAATACACTATATTAATGAAGCCCAAAGCTAGGTTATCTGTTTATATATATAAGTCTACTAGATTACATTTTAGCTATAACAGATAAGTCAATGGTTCTCAGCCCTGATTACATATTAGAATTACCTAGAGAGCTTTCTAAAAATATGCATGCCCAGGCCCACGCCAGACCACTGGAATCAGAATCCCAAGGAGTAGGCCTAAGCACAGTAAAAGATCATTAAAGTATATTATATTCTAAACTTAGGAAAGAGCTTACAGATCATTTAGACCAACTCTATCTTTATAACTGAGAAACTAAACCAGAGACTCCTGGTCCCCACCTGGTCGGTTGCACTGACACTTAGGGATTGCGCCAGGCCTAGAACCTAAAAGTCTGTGTCCATCCACGCTCCTTCTTTCACCCTGACTCATTCGTTTGTTAATATATTCATTCAGGAAATATTTTGAGAGCCTATTCTGTGTTCAGCCCTAGATAATAACACCTGCTGCCGTTATGGAACATTACTGGAAAGAATCCAAATGTCCACCAACTGGTGAGCAGATAAACAATACAATGAAATAATATTCTACAATAAAAAGAAATAAACTACTGATACAATCAACAAAGTAGACAAATCTTAAAAACACTCTGCTAAGTGAATGAAGCTAGGTACAAAAGACCATGTTTACATGATTACATTTATATAAAATGCCCACAAAAGGCAAATCTGCAGTGACAGAAAGTAGATTAGTGGTTTCCTGGGTCTTGGAATAGGAGCAGGGGTTGGCTGAGAACGGACAGGAAGGATCTTATATAGGGTGATGAAAATGTTCTAAAACTGGAGTGTGGTGATGGTTGCACAACTCAATAAATTCACTAAAAATCATTAAGTTGTTCATTTACAATGGGTAGTTTTATGGCCTGTAAATTATCTCAATAAAATTTAAAATAAAAAAAAACCTGCTGTCATTTATTAAATACTATATAACAGGAATTTGTACTAGGATTTAAACAGTACTACCCTCAGTGATATGCTCATAAATTTTTTAAAACAAGTTAACTGATATAAAGAATGTTTAGCACATAATTTACAATTAATGATACAATATATAAGACTCTTTATTTATTATACTTCAGTATGACTTGCCATATCTTGCAAAATCCACTATCAGTTTTTATAATTATTTCACCAACAATAGTGTCACAAATTCAAACAATAAATAAATGCTTGATTTCTCTCTAATACAGCAAGGAAGTTGCTCACGTTACTGACCAAGAGTGTAGTTCTGACATGAATGTTGGCGGAGATTTTGTTTACATTAAGGACAAAAGTGAAACAATGAAGACACATGCCAAAACTTCACTTGTTTTTCAATGATGTAAGCAACTTTTTTGCTGAAATAATGATAGCTGTCAAAAAATGAAAGAATATTTCCTCAGTTGGGGGGAGGGGGGTATTGACAATGTGACAGCCCCAGACATGAAACAGTCTAAGTTTAATCTTCATTAACATTTTTACTATTACTTTCTTATGTCTGGAGACAACCAACAATAATTCAAACCCTGCTTTGTAGCATCTGACAATTTCCATGGTGTAAACAGTCCCACCATGGCTGGTTTCAAGCTACCAACGTACCACTGAATGCAGAGTTGGGAAGAAATATGCAGTTACATACCACTAAACAGTATTTCCACATACAGATACAATAGACATAAATAATCTTATCAGCAGAGCTAAGAGTAAAACAATTAGAAAGAGATGAGTTTCAAGTTTTTTAGCCTTTGTTTCTAACATAATTTAACTGTAAATTTATGGAATTTAATTTTTAAATGAATTCGTGAAATCTTAACAGTGGGCACTCAACTGGCTCTAGCACACAACCAACCTACTCCCCGTTTTACCAGTGAGAAAACTGAAGCTCAGAGAGGCAGTCACTAACTAGCCCTGGTCACACAGCACGGTGCCACCCAGGTCGGTCTAATTCCAAACCTTCTCCCTTCCAACGTGCCTCTCCTTCAAATGTAGCTGGTGACCGACCCACACATCAACACCCAAACACTAACGTCAATGGATTGGTCATTTGTTGGATAACCACTGCTTTCCTTTCCAATAGGTGGAATGGGAACTCTGACCAGGGCAGGAGGAAGAAATAAAAGGAAAGAGCACATCTACCCGACAGTTTTGCTCAGGACATGGCAGGATCCGACCCTTCCCGAGACTTGGCTGAGTCCAGATTCAGCAATCAGCCATCGTGTGACAACTGGTAGAAATGATAGATCACTGTGTGTTTTGTTTGTTTGTTTTTTTAACATTTGTCATTCAGTATTCCTTTTCACACATTTTCACTATAGTTACTGAAAACGTTATTTAAGACTTACCTTGGAGGTCACAGCAAAAGCCAAGTATTAAAAATCAAATGTTTCCAAGAGAGAAAAAGGTTTCAGGAGTAAATCATTTAGTTCTCCACACAAATACTCCTTGGCCCCCGGTCTGGTCCACTCCTCCACGGTACCATTTTCAAATCGGCCGCCTCTGCCTTCCTTGACTGCTAACTACTGGGGCCCGGTTGTGACACTGCCACATCCCAGCATCACATCTCCCTTTTCAGTCAGCTTTTCAGTCAGAAATATTTTAATGAGCGTCCTGACGCCACATAAGATTGCTCAGGAAAAAGCTGAATTTACATTGTGGAGTTCCAGTACAAAAGTGCTTTGAAACGTTTTAGGCAGAGTAGGTTCCAGGCAAAAGCGCTGTCCCGCCCAGCACCTCAGAACCTCAAGTGCGCTCAGCAAACCGGTGGGCGCCGGCGGTGACCGCGCGGCGCAGCATCTCCCGCCAGAGTCCACAGCACATGCGCAGTCAGACCCTCCGGCGGCCGCTCAGCTCCGCCCCTCGGAGACGCCGGGTTCCTTGAAAGGGACAGAGCGTAGAGACGCTCAAGCGCGGGCTGCAGCCGCGCAGGCGTAGTCGGGGCGCCGTTGCTGAGCCAGCCACTTTTCCTCTCGCGAGTCCCGGGTCGTTGGTTTGCTAAGTGCAATTGGGCCCGGCAGGTGCTGAAGGGTTGGGGTCGTGGACCCCCGCCAGGTCTCAGCAGCACGGAGGTGCAGGCTGTCGCCGAGGGCGCGGGGCCGGGCGCCGCTAGCGGTGCGCTCCGCCCCGGGCCCCCCGCCCCTGCCCCTGGCCAGGCCCGGGCTCCAACCCCCGTCCCAGCCGCGGCCTCTCAGTTCACCCTGCTGGTGATGCGCCCCTGTGGAGGGCCGGACGAGGCTGCGGCCGAGGGCGTCCTGCGGCAGGCTCCGGCCCTGGGGGGCAGCGCCGGGGCGGGCAAGCCCGTTCGGTACCTGTGCGAAGTGGCGGGGGATGGCGAGGAGGAGGCGGGGGAAGACGAGACAGACCTGCTGGACACTTCGGACCCCCCGGGGGGAGGCGAGAGCACGGCTAGTTTGGAGGATCTGGAGGACGAGGAGACCCACTCTGGGGGAGAGGGCGGCAGCGGTGGAGCCCGGAGACGGGGCAGCGGCGGGGGCAGCATGAGCAAGACCTGCACCTACGAGGGCTGCAGCGAGACCACGAGCCAGGTGGCCAAGCAGCGCAAGCCGTGGATGTGCAAGAAACACCGCAACAAGATGTACAAGGATAAATACAAGAAGAAAAAAAGCGACCAGGCCCTGAACTGCGGTGGGGCCGCCCAGGCTGGCAGCGCAGGAAATGTCAAACTTGAGGTATCGACTGGGGTCTGGGGGAGTGGGAGGTGGAAAAAGAAACCCCACTCTGGCCGCAGACCGCGTCTCCAGCGCCTGCCTACCGCCTCCCAAATGGGCCAGGTTGCTGTGGCTGGACTTGTGGCTGAGAGTTAATGAGTGCTTGCCCTCAACTACAGTTTATACAAACATATGCAAAGCCTGAACGGTTCTGGTGCATCCTTGTGAGAGGTGAATAAATCTCAATGAAAATGATGTGACATGTCAGCAAAGCTGTCTTTTCAAAGGTCTGGGATATGGGCTGGAAGGGCAGATAGTAAATGATTGACCTGATTCATCACTAGAGGAGCAGGCAGAGACTTAGGAACCTGCGTGAAATTGGTACTTTGGAGAAGATAATCTCTTCCTGTTATCACTACCCTATTTTCGGTATCCTTTTCTTAGCATACTTATTCTTAGTACCCTGTTCTCAGTACCCCTATTAAGAGTACTCTTTTAGTGTTCTTAGTGTTATTTTCTCAGTTAAACCTATTCTCAGTTCTCTGTTCTTAGTACTCTGTGCTTAGTACTACTGTGTTCTCAGTGTCCTGTTCTGTTGATTTTGTTCTTAGTATCCCAATTATCAGTAAATAAGCCACTTATTACAGAATGAAATAGTCATTTGTCCCTCTGTTTGTCCCAAACGTACCCATTCACTTCAGAATTCTTTACAGAAAGAGGAGATAATATACTTCTTTTCAAGAAGGAAGTATTTTTTACCTGTAGCAACTTTCTTTTTTTAATTGCCCAGCATTTACATCTACAGTTTGAGGAAAATGTACAAAAGGCAAATAGATACTGAATTCGAATCTCTTCCTCCCCCCCCCCCCCCGAAAAGAACCTTAATAATTTTCCTATTCTAAAACAATTTGCATGATTTTTTTAGGGAAGATAATTAATTGCTATAAGCAACAAATAATAGCCATTTATCTTACAGTATGGGACACTTTACCAGTTCTGAGGAATCAAGAGCTGTAAGTCTTTGTTGAACTGAGTGTAAAGAAAATAACTAACAGGGACAGGCAGGATACATTAAGGGCCAGCTGTACAGTGGTGCTTTAGTAGTGGAGAGGATAGATCACTGTAGGCTGAGATATTCTAGAAAGGCTTTGCAAAGAAAATACAACTCAGTATAAGCCAGAAAGGACGGCTAATAGTATGTCCTTAATCAGCTAAGTTTCTTAATGTGCCAGGCACTGTGCAAAACTGTAAATGGAGCCTCACACCCTTCAGCAATGAGATAAGTACTATATTTTACATACGTGGAACTGAGGCACAGAGAGGTTAAGTAACTTGGCCTAGGTCATGCAGCCAGCAAGTACTCAAACCCAAGCAATCTGGTTCTAGAGCCTTCATTCTTATCCCCGCACTATACTGCTTCCCTAGAATTTTGGTGATGAAAAGAAAGAGAATACATTTTAGTAAAGGAAGGGAAGTGGGAATACAGAAGGTACTTCTGGGAAGGCAGCAAGGGGACCATTCTAGCTAAAGCAGAATATTTATGTGGAAAATTCACAAAAGATAAATTTAAGAGTTTGAAGCCAATTTTTGTATGATGTTGAATGTTGAATGTATGATTTTGAATTTGGAGTCTTCAAAAGAAAGTTCCTAGTTAGGAAGTAACAGGGGCTTCAACTCTGATGGGGTGGATTAAAGTCAAGAGCCTATAGATTTAGAGATGTTTTAGGAGATGATTATAGTAGGACTGGTAGGTGGTGATGGGGTCTTCTGCCATAGTGTGAGCAGCAAGATTAGAAATTAAGATATTTAAAAATCAGTATTTCTTACACAAATCAGGGTTAAATGAGAAACAAACGTATATAATATTTAGTCGATGTATCTAAAAATTAGGCTGTGTGAGAGACACATAAAGGAACCAGGGATGAAAGAACTGACCTGTGAGATTGATCATTATCGTTAGATATCTAAAAGGCTATCATTTGGAAGAAGCAGTAGACTTATTTTGCATAGTTCTGAAGTAACTAGGACTCTTAGGTGAAAATCACAGGGGTTATGTGTTTCAGCTCAACCTTAAGTAAACGCTCCCTACATGTTAGATATTCAAAACCAAATAGGATGCCTCAAAAGTTGGTAACTCCTTAGGACAAAAAGTGTTGAAAATTTTTGAAAAGGGAATTCCAACACTTGTAGAAGTTTGAACTAGATGACTCAAGTTTATTTTCACTACAAGCTTCTGTGATTTTGTGTTATTAACATTCAGAATGTACACAGTGCTGTGTGTGAGGTGAGAATGCAGGGTACTCCATCATCAATTTCGGCATCCCATTTCTTGTGCAATAAAAATGAAGCACAGTCCCATAAGTAGTTAATCCTATGGGGAGAGAGGGAGGAAAAAATTATTTTTGTTTTCTCTGGGTATTAGATTCCTCTTTTTACAGTTTTTTATATTGTGAGGCTTAAAATGTTAAGGGATTGAACATTTTTTTTAACATCAGATTGATAAACTTCTCATAGTGAAAGAGATAAAGAAAGGGAGTATTCTAATAGACAACTCAGAGGACATTAGAAAGAAGGTCAAGAGAAAAAAACAGCTTCAATAATAACCGAAATGAAGAGCAGAATAAGAGTGAATTCATACGTGGCATAGCTTATGTGACTTTATATTTGGTCAGAATTTTTGGATGTGGTCAGTATTGTATCATGGTTTTATAAGAGTCAGAGTGTTTCAGTGAACTAACATTTTGTTAGCCAGGAAAATTGTATTTAAGATTTTATCAGGTCAGTAGGAATACACAGTTGGTAGTAAACGCTGCTGATTTTGTTTGAGGAATGATGTCTCAAAGAGTATGGTGTCATTTTAGGACTTGCCTGTTTTGTCTACACCAGTGGCAGGAGATTACTTATACCAGTGCTTTCCAGTCTTTTCAAAGCCAGTTTGTCATTTTTCTCCTGGTGACTTCCAAATTTTGAAATCTTTGTGTATCAACTGCTTCTTTGAGTAATATTTTACTCCCCTTCCCCATTTTTTTTGCTGTTGTTAATTTGTTTGTTGTTTTGTTGGGCAAAAAACTATCAAGAGTGTTTCATTAGCACTACATGAATGGCCTTTGAGTTCATATATTCAAAGGCAGGCAAACTTTGGTTTGGCCTGGATAGCTTTATCTGAGGAGAATGTTCAATTTACACTTGGCACTTTTTTGTAGTATTGAAAATCACTCACAAATATTAAAATAGGTTCCCTTCCCCTACCCTGCCCCACTATTGATTTTTGAGACCTTCTGGAGACAGAAGATCCCAGGTTGGAAGTCCTGGAGGGAGAGGGAGTGAGGCATGTTATATAAAATTAACTGCCAACACTTTGCCTAATGACTTAAAGAGGGACTTTCTCAAAGGCTCCCAGGAACTGGGCAAGAAGGAAGAGAAGCAAAGACCTGTTCATTACATCATTGAAATGCCTCTAATCATGGATTATTATATCAACATTTAATCCTATTTGCATTTTTATCTTTTATCCCAGGAAAGTGCAGATAATATACTCTCCATTGTTAAACAGAGAACAGGATCTTTTGGGGATCGACCTGCAAGACCTACTCTTTTAGAACAAGTGTTAAATCAGAAAAGACTGGTAAATATCTGTTTGTAAAGTAGTTACAAATCTAACAAAAGTTGTTTGTTATAAATGGAACTATTGAGCTTTTGAGATCTTAAAATTTGTTAAACTGGTAATCAGAATTGTGCCTCTGCCAGTACACGTTGGAATCTCATAAAGACAAAATTACAAAGAAAATATAATTTCACTACATAAAAATGAATATTGTAGTTAAAAATGGTGGTAAAAATAAAAATGCAAACTTGAAAATAACATATAGGAAAAACATTTGCAACAAATATGTAAAAGACTGTGGTTGGTATGGTTGACATTTTTATCACACAGATAGGGGAGGACAAAATTTTGACCTCAATACATTGCAAGAAATATAAACAGAAAAAAGCAGAATGCTTCCCTTATATGATATGGAAAGATATTTCATATCAGTAAAAATCATACAATAAACAGTACAATAAGTGAAAATTATTTAAATGATAACACACAGTGATGTTGAGGGTTCCATGAAAGGGACTCATTCTGCTGATGGCATCTTGTATTAGTACAGCACTTTAGAAAGCAGCTGGGCGGTCTGTATCCCTTCACTCAGAAATCATACTTACTGTGAAGACATTCTCAGGAAACAAATTCTAAATATGGATAAATTAAGCATAAGGATATTTGCCAGAAATGTATTTATCACAAATAGTAAAATGGTAGTTTAAACAACCTCAGTGTCCAACAGTCTCATAACAGCTAAGTAGACTTTAGTACATTTACTTAATAAAGGTTGGGCAGTCTTTACCAATAAATTTTAAAGAAAAGTAATAAATAGGAAATATACTATGCTGTAATATTACACTTTAAAAATCAGTTTTTAATGATAATGTTTCCACCTTTTTTGGTTTATCTTGTTCACTTTATTAGGTTCAAGGTTTTTTTACCTTCATCAATTTATATAAGTATTTTAATAAAAACATATTAGCCATAGTCTATTATATTTGTCATATGAGTATAACTATATTTAAAAATGGTGAGTGTATAAAACTGTGTTGGTTGTTTCAGAGCAGTTGTATTTCTTTTCTGAAATTTTGGTAATGTGCTAATATTACTTTTATTATACATGTATACCTATATATACACACACACATACCTATACACACAGACACACCATTTTTAATTTCTCAGAAAGACTTAGTAAACTAGTGGGAGGAACTTGAGTTCCAGTACTAGTCATACACGTATGTGTTTCTAAACTGGCATTTAACCATGTTCACATGGTGCGCCTTTTCCTTTTTTTTTTCTTGTTGTAATCCAGTGCTGTTTTTGGCTCTTATGTTTTGTAAAGGGTATACATGCTGGCACATCATAAAAGCATTTCCTTTGTGTGCAAAATCACCAATAAGATCAGGCTTCACCAGTGAGTTTTAGGTTTTAGTATTTGATATATGACATCAAATTTTATTATTATTAGTTTGCAGTTTAATTGCAGTACATCAGATGCAGAAGTGAATTCAATTTAGGGATGTTTCGTTTCGTAAGCATATGGTATCTTGTGTAAGGATACAGAAGAGTAATTTTATAACATGAATATGATCTAATCCCATAAAATAATGCTATTAATAAATATGTTTTTTATTTTTCCTTTTTAAGTCATTACTAAGAAGTCCAGAAGTGGTGCAGTTTTTACAGAAACAACAACAGCTATTAAATCAGCAAGTTTTGGAGCAAAGACAACAGCAGTTTCCAGGAACATCAGTGTGAGCGAATTTATCAAGAAGTCCTACACGTTTTTTATCTTATTTTAGTGGATGGACATATTTTTATACTAAAGATAAATGGGGTAAGATTTGCCAGTAGAAGGTAAACAGTCATTTTCCTGTGACTGTATGTGTGCATTTGGGGACAAATAAGTATTGCACATTGTGCATCTGATCCTTTCAGATCACTGTGGATTTGAAGAAATCAGCTTATCTTTCCAAAGTAATATTTAATTACAATGTTTTTTAAAACAAAATGTTTCTCTTCAGTCATTGTTACTGAAGGTAATGAAGCAGTTGCTTTCTGTGGAAGTCACGAAGTTAATAGATATTAATCTTGAATCATCTAACTCAGTGATTCTCATCAAGGGGCAGTTGGAAACATATGGGTATGTTTTTTCTTGTCACGGCGACCTTGAAAACTGCTGGTTTTTAGTGAATGGGACAGGAATGCTAGGTGTCTGGAATGGTCCTCCACAACTAAGAATTATGTTACACGCACGGCCAATAATCCCCCTGTTAAGAAAAACTGAGAGCTACCTGTGATGATAAAATGTAGTTGGGGCACCTAGAACTGGGTTCTCGTAATAACCTTTTCTTTGCAGTTAAGACTGGAGCTGTCAAAGAGGTAAGCATATTTTCTGTGTATAAGGAAAGTGATCATTGTTAAATAGCTGTGAGATTAGGATGTGCACCTCTTCAGAGATGTGCTGGTAAAACCCGAGAGGGATTAACCAAGTACCCTGGAATGAGTGCATCTCCTAAAGTTGGCTTCTCTACTTCTTGTTACCTATTAGTATTGATCTCATTTAAAACAGACACTCTTGTGTGTTGAATTTGTGAACAGTACAAATGTATCTCATCCCACCAATGTCAGGACAAAATTACTTTTTTATACTCATTTCTTTTTAAAAAAGAGATCCTGAATATAAGAATAACACTCCAGCATTTTGTCCATGTTTTTCAAAATTGAGCTATTTTAAGATTGTGTTATTCCTAAGTATTGTTCAAAGAGTGATGGGTAATCTGGATAGATACTTTTTTCTTGTATTTTCTCCTAGGAAAACTTTTAAAAGGCAAAGCTTACCAATAAGAGTATCAAATCAAATGTCAAGAAAGTATTTCCAGTGTTAGGACAATAAATGCATGTGCCTCAAGTTAAACTGTGCAAAAATTTGTTAGTTTCTTGGGTTTTAAGCTCTGAAATATATATCAAGTTAAACTTAGTCATGGCTGTTCTAAGATGTACTTAAGGAGAGAAGGAATCTTTATGTTCATTCTTTATATGTGTTTTATACCTGCATATCTGTGCAAAAATGCTTTTACGAGAATTATTCATTAAAGTCCAGTTATTGACCTTTGAGTTGTCTGAGTCACTTATTCTATTCTTTAGTTGCTTCGCTCCGGATGCAGAGGAATTCATTTCCATTTGTTATTAACTGTCAGCTTGTTTTCTTACTTATGGCATTGGGAGCTTTATTGAATCCCTAGAGTTTTCTTACTTATGGTGTTGGGAGCTTTATTGAATCCCTAGAATATAAGTTAACTTTTGTAGTAAAAAGAAAACAAAAAAACCCCAGCTTATCCTTCTTCAAATAGAACACGAGGATTAGGAAAGGAGGCAAAGTAATAGGCCAGTGAGAACTGAATTAAAAGAAAAGGAATTGGGGGCTTCCCTGGTGGCGCAGTGGTTGAGAGTCCAACTGCCGATGCAGGGGACACGGATTCGTGCCCCGGTGCAGGAAGATCCCACATGCCACAGAGCGGCGCGTCTGGAGCCTGTGCTCCACAAAGGGAGAGGCCACAACAGTGAGAGGCCCGTGTACCGAAAAAAAAAAAAAAAAAAGGAGTTGAATTTATTTACATATATATTATATAAAACATATATTATAGAAAACAATAAGGTTTTTACATATTTAGGGTACATATTGCAGTGTGTCCCCAACCTTTTTATCCCTGCATATATTTGTCACTCTTGTCATGTGACTTTGCTGTTCCTCCCACGGAGAGGTTGAGTTTATTTACCCCTTAAATCTGGTGGACTGGCCCTGTGACTTGTTTTGGCCAATAGAATACAGAGGAAATAATAACATGGCAGCTCTGAGTAGACTGACTTCCAAAGGTTTTGAACACTTCGGCTAGTCCTTTTAGAATGCTACCCAGCTGCCATGGTAACAAACCCAGACCAGCACAGCCTGCAGAATAATGAGACACGTGGCCCAGTCACCTCTGTTGTACCAGCCAATAGCCAGTAAACAGCCAGATATGTAAGTGAGGCTGTGCTAGACTAGCTGTGCCCCAGCCAGCCTGCCAGCTGACTGCAGGTGCATTTGATCTGGTCCAGACTGGCAGAACCACCCAGCTGACCTGCAGACTTGTGGGTAAGAATAGTTATGATTGTAAGCCACAGAGTTGTGGGATGGTTTGTTATGCAGCATTCTTGAAACAGTAGGTAAGTGATACACCTAACTGTATAGTTGTTTCTGTGTAACAAATCACCCCAAAATTTAGTGGCTTGAAAACACAATTTATTATTATTTCTCACAGTTCTGTATATGATTACTATGGTTTTAAATAACTCTGCAAAAGCTTTCAAGGTAGGTGTGGTAGACTGCACTTTCCAAAGATGGCCACAACAAAATCTCCCATCCCACATGCTCTTATGTGATGTGGCCCATTAAGAACTAGATTTTATTTTTCTGCCCCCTTGAATTTGAGCAGGCCCTGTGACTGCTCTAACCACATGACAAAGTGATGTTAATGCTAGTTGATTTGAGTCTAGAGGAAAGGAGATATAGTAAGTGGAGATATGGTATATTTGCAGTAATAATGTAAAGGCATTCACAGCTTGCATTTTCCAGCAAAGTCATCTGCTATTGTAGACTTGGGGAAAGGAGCAGAGAAGTCATCTGCTAATATGGAGCAGGGGAGTTGATAAGAGGCTGTAGGAAAAGGAAAAATTAGAAAGACATTGAAGTCAGTGAGAAAGATGGCTAGTAGCTAGTAGCCTGCTAATAGTCCCCTGATACCTTTTTTCCTTCTTTCATAATAATAGAAGTTTTGGTTGGGAGTGTACCCACCCAGCAATACAGCCAATTTTCACATAATGTCATGTGAAAGAATCCAGACACAAATGATGTGTGGATGATTCAATTTGTATAAAGTACAGAAGCAGGTGAAACTATTATTGTTAGAACACAGAGGAGTGGTTTCCCTTTGGGTGGGGATAGAGCCTAGAAGGAGGCATGAGGAAGCTTCAGGGTTTCTGGTGATGCTCTCGTTCTGTCCTGGATGCTGGTTATGCATGTGTGTTCTGTTAATGAAAGTTCAGCAAGCTATACATGTATGATTTTTGTACTTTTCAGTATATATTTTTTATTTCAGTTTTAAGACTATTTTTCAGCTGCCCTTGCAGTTGGGTGTAGCCATGTAAGTTATGGCCAATGGGCTATGAACAGAGAAGATGTGTGCAACTTCCAGACAGTGCCCTGAAGCAGGAGACAGGCAGCCCATTTCTTCTCCATCCTGCTGCGTGGAATGTGGACAAAGCAGCACATCATCTGTAGACCAAACGAAGGTAATTCACTGGGAAAGCCAGAACAAGAGAAAAAGAACCTGTGTCCTTGGATGGCCTTGGGGAGCAGAGCTACTATCCTATAACCTGTTTTGGACCAGGGACCTCCTGTTTTTGGACTACTACATCAAAGAGAGATGGAATTTCTTGTGTCTGCCATGGCTAGTAAGGTGTCTCTGTTATATCCAGCCAGGTCTATATCCTCAGTAATACTGTGTGTAAAGGGATTGATGAGTTGGGCATTAAAGGTTTGGCCTGGAAACCAGGAGCCTGAAATGGCAGTCTGCAGTCAGGTGACAGTATATCTCAGGGCTCCGCCAGCCATAGAGGAGGAAAGATAAATTGCAAGCTTGAACTCAGATTCATTTAGTGGAATAAGTGGCGGAAGTTAGGATGCTTTACTCTCAGGAATAGAAGCTAGAGTTCTCGCTGAACAGAGAAGAAATGAGGCCAACAGGGAAAGTAGTTTTCTATGACATTGCAGAGCAAGTGTAGGAAGAATCAGAGAGCACGAGGTACTTCAGCCAGGAAACTAGCAGTATTCATGACAATGAATGAGCAACTGCCCCGATCTTTATTACACTACTCTGTAACAGCGGGTATATCAGTAACTCAAGCTCCTTCAACTCCTTGGTTTTAAGACCATTCCCAGGCTTCCACTTGAAGAGTGGGATTTGGAGGGACTGAATAAACAAGTCGGTAGGATTTAATGACAGGAAAATCATTCAGGAACGGCCCACTTCAGGGAGGAAACCCAGGGGGATATGCTTCAGCTCATCAACCAGCAGCCCTAGAGTACTACCAAACCTTGCTAGAAAGCAATCAGAAAAGGAAAAGGAAAGAAAGAAAACTATAAAATAAATGTTTTGCTTCAGTAGTAGCTAATCCAAATGACTATGGAGAAAAAGGAGACAACCAACAAGATAGTCCTCAAAAGAGGTGTCCATCAATGACGATATTGGCCAAAAATTATAAGTGGACTATAGTTACTTAGTTATGGATAGGGAAATACAAAGGGTCATAAATAATGTTACCAAAAATTATATGTAAAGATATAATTATACACACATGTATGCTTATATACAAAATTAGAAGTTGCAAAGGAAAATTGGGGCACTGGTAGCATGGGGTAGAAGAATAGGAGCTTCAGTGGTTGGGAGACAATATCTTTTATCAAAATAATCCTTTGTACTGCTTGAATTTTTACCATGCACAGATGACCCTTTCAAAAATGTTTTTCTTATTACAAACTGAAATCCTATTACAGATTGAAAACAGTAGACAGGATATGCTTTTTCCTTTGCTTTCTATTTCAGCTTATAGGAGGAAATACATTTTTATTAATGAATCTTTATTTCCATATACGTAGCACTTATTTATAGTGAGATTTCCCCTCCTGGAGTTTCTTACCGTCTTTTCTGAGGCCCAAA